TATGAACTTAACTCATTTAAAAATAAATGATCAGAGGGACTTGGGGTCACAGTTAACTCAGGCCAGGTTATGCGGCACTGCCTGCCACCACGCCAGGGAGATTATCTGGATATCTGCTTTGCTCGACACTCTTTTAGATTTTCCTAAGAGGAAGCAGTTGGGGCCTCTTTTCCTTTTTATCCAATTATTTTTCTTTCTTTCTTTCTTTCTTTTTTTTTTTTTCCATTTTATTTCGATTCCAAAACAACAGACCTATAGCCAGGACAAGAATGAAAGGGCGTCTCCTTCCAAACCTTGAGGTACATCTGTCACTCCAAGCACCCAAGAGTGGCTGCAGCAAGAATCCTGAAACAGAGCGGGCCAGTGGTCATCGCCAGGGTCCCCACTGTCACCTGGGGGGGGGGCACTGAACCGGCCTCAGCATTCCTGAAATACCTGCTCTCAAAGGCCCCCAGTGCATCAGAGGCATAAGGAGATGAAACTCAGAGTCAGCAATAAAACCCTAAGCTGGAAAACGAGAGACAGGCAGACTCTCCGAACCACTCAGCTTCTCCCTAAATTTTCTGCAGAGGCCCCTCCCTAGGAGGCACTCAGCAGCCATGACCTTGGGAATCCAAGAATCTCCAGGACCCCCAGACTCGGTCCCCACCAGGCTTTCTGGCTTGAATCTTTCAGTGACCCCACCGCACACAATGGGGCTAGTCCTTGGGGACCGCTCTGTGACCTGGTTTAAAGTGACTTAAAATACGGGGCATGACCGGCCATCCCTCCGTTCTCCTCCAGCCCCACGCTCCTGGGTGGAACATCACTCTCGCTCCTCCCTTGTCCCTGGCGCCCCTGGGGGCCTCGGCCGGCGGCCGGGCGCGCGGGGCTCACCGAGGATGGGGCTGACCAGCCACACCAGGCTGCAGAGCTGGTCCGGGAGGCCCAGCCGCAGCAGCGCGGGCGTCACGTAGGCCGTCTCCACCGCGTAGCTGAACTCGATGCCGAAGAGCACGCAGCCGTTGAAGAGCAGCTCCCGGAAGGACCGCTGGGGGCGCGGGTCCCCAAAGCCCACCAGCTCCACGGGACACGGGGTGTTGGGGGGCGGGGGCGGGGAGGGGCGGATGCACTTCCTCCTCTTGGGGTGTCGTTTGAAGTTGTTGGCTCGGTGGCTGATGTGTCGTGTCAGGGACCCCGTGTAGCCCGAGACCTGAGACCTCCAGACGTCCTGAGGGGCCAGGCCGGGACCGGGGGCCTCTGCCGGCGGGGTGCTGCCTGCCGCGGGGATCATCGTAGGGGGCGCCGGTGGCTGTTCCTGCAGGAAAGCCCGTGAGGAGGGCATGGTGACTCACGGACCTCCCCTGCAGAGGTAAACTGTCCAGGTGACTCCCCTGCCCGCCCCCAACTGGTGCCCCTTCGAGTCACACCGTGTCCCCCGAAGTAGCGCCTGCTGCTTGTGGATGGCGTTACCCACCTCCTTCTGGGATCACCGCAGCTAATCCGCCCACGGAGACCCAACGGGACACTCTCCCTGCCCAGAGGGAGGAGGCCTGCTCCTTCAGGTCCCTGCACTCAAACTGGGGTGACCCTTCCCCAAAAAGATGCCACGGGGTCAGGCAAAAAAAAAACCCCGAAGGCTGGGAGCAGCGAGAGCCCTATGTGTTGCCAGGCAGTTTTAGAATCCGCCACCCATATCCAGGCTCAGGGAGCAGAGAGGAGGGGACCCACCTACAGGCACCCTCGGCCCCGTTAGGGGACAGCCCGATCCTTAATAGGTTGGAGTCACAGTGGTCGCCTTCCCTAGTCCTGTGTCACTCTTCATGGTAGGCCGGGGGGTCCTTGCCTAGAAGCAGCTGAATGAGTTTAATTCCAGTTCTTTTCAGCATCAATTGGATGAGTGAATTTTCAGTTAAGTCAGGACCGAGGCTGTTTTAGTGTTTGAAAATGCTTTTTTTAAAAGAAATGAACCAAACTCCCTGAATCCTGATGTCAGACAACACACTGAGTCGGGAGAACCAGGGAGGGAAGATAAAACAGATGTCTCCTCCATCTTCAAATTATTTTTCAGGCAATTTTTACAATGCCGTCTAAGCTTCTGTGAGGAATTAGCAAGCACGCAGGCCTTCCCAGACACTCCCGGCCCTTGTCCCTGCCCCTTGGGGTTTGCATCTGAGCCACTCAGAGACCTGCTCCTGGGCATCCAACTGTTTCGACTGCTTTGAAATTAATCTAGATTATAAACATTCAAGCCGTGTATTCTAGTATGTTGACCCACGCATTACAGCCAGTGGCAATTTTACCGAGCACAGGAAGAAGGAAGCTACTAAGATCAGACAGAAAAAAACGCGAGAGGGGGGCCGTCCAGGATTCGGGTTGACCTCTCCAACAGAAGTCACCCCTTCCGCCTAAATTTCCTTTAAAGTCCTTCCTGAGAAGCAGGCCCCAAACCCAAGTGGTCATTCCGACATCAACAGTTTACTGACCGGGATGCTGGTTATTCACTGAGGTAAATGCTACACATTGAAGATCATTTTAAGTTTTAGAAATAAAGATCTTTATTTCTGACATCAGCTTACTATACCAGCTTCCATCACGCTATCGCTAGTCAATGACTTCTTTATGAACTACTCTGAAATTCCTCATCACTCCCCCTCCACCTTATCCACTCAGAGCTTGATTTCCTTCTCCTCGGAAGACACCGATGGTGGAAGTGATTTGTTCTGGAGACGTCCCAATAAGATTCAGAATATTGCGTTAATCCGACAACCCATCCATTATCCATCCATCCGTCTACCCACTCATCAACCCATCCTTCCACCCATTATCCATCTGCATATGCACCCTTCCAACCATCCATCTATCCATCCATCCATCCATCATCCATTCATTCATCTGCTTGTCCATCTATCATTCAATTACCCACCCATCTTTCCAAAGATTCATCTGTCCATCCATCCATCCATCCATCCATCCATCTGTCCATCCATCCATCAATCCATCCATACATCCATCCATCCATCCATCCATCCATCTGTCCATCTGTCCATCCATACATCCATCCACCCTCCCATTCACTCATCTACCCATTCAGCCGAGTACTGAGTACCAAGACACTGAATACAGAGAGATAAAAGAAAGACATAGTTCTTGCCCTTGAGTTAGGTGAAAAAGTGGAGGAAAGGTGTTCCAAGCAGTGGGAACCACACATGTGAAAAAGACACGCGTAATATTCGGGCACAGTAATATTCGTCATGAGAGAAGAAGCCATCGGGAAGGTACTAACTGACAACGAAAGGCCTCGCTAAGAGCCGGATTTCACACCGAGACCAAAGGGACAGAACCAGAGACTCAGTGCGCTCTCGCTTCTGTAAATGGCTTATCTTGGGACCTTAGGAAAAATCCCATGCTCACCTCTAAAACAAGCACATACCTGAGAGCTACGTAGATGAGCAATACTCTGTTAACACGATTCACATATGAAGATTAAATCAAGAAGAAACACTCTAAAAAGCTAAGCTTCTCGTTTACATTCCTTCTAATCTAGCTCAGGTGCTCGTGCACAGTAAATACTTCAGAAGAGTCTGTCCATTGGCAGGTCCTGCCTTCGAAGTCCCGGGGGGGGGCTTTTAGCACTCCCTGGAGGTCCCCGCTTTAAGATCACAGAAAGACAGTGCCCGCCGGACACTGCAGAAGGAAGACTTTCAGCACAGGTGTGTGGGAGAGTGTGACTTGACTTCACCTGTCGGGCCGCAGCCCCACATCAGCCTCAGAGCCTGACTCCCTGTCTGCCTCTCCACCTGCCCCTTCGGGCACACACAGCACCTCTCTTTCCCACCAGCGTTTTACCCCCATAGTGAACCTAAGTGCACGCACATCAGACACTGTCCTTTCATTTTGGAATGAAGAACCATGAGCCCACTTGGGAAGAATTTCAGATTTAAACAGTATATGACAGAAACGTATTTTTGAAAAGGGGAACCTTTCTGATCCTACTTAAAATGAACTATGTAGGTGTCACTCAGGTCTCTACCTGTGATGTGATGACTTCATCACCACCTGCCCACCTCCCTCAATTTTAAAACACAGGCTGCAGCCTGACTTAGCAAAAGGGAGACCTCCCCGCCAGCATTTCAACCAGAATTAAACCTGAACTTGAAGGCATCTTCACTAACTGTTCACCTTCAAGTTGGAGGGTCAGCATTACCATTTTTGTTTTCAAAATACATTTATTAAAAGCTGTCCATGAAAGGTTATTCTAAGAAAAGTATTTAAAATCCATTTGAATGTTATAAAAAAAAAGGAAAATGAAATTTAAAATCATGAAATAGAATTTTAATCCACCAGTACAAATATTCGCCAGACCATCTCGATCACATTAAATGACCATTTACTCAGTCCAAAACAAAAAAAATGCATGCATATGCCTGGACTCTCAAGGTTATATGCCAGGCCCACTGTGCATCTAGAATACAGAAAGTGTTTCAAGTAGCATATCCCTCAACTGTATTCTGGGAAGATTAAATGGCAAATGATTAATAAAAATCGACAATGTCCATGTAATTCGAATGCTTAAAGTTATCTTACTATGAGCCAACATCATTTCTTCGTTTCTTTCTCCTCTTTTCTGCATGAAACCAGGCTTCCCACCATGGGGTCACGTGGGGCCGCATCCCCCACCCCCTTCCTTCCGCCAGTTCTCAAAGTTAATACTTCCGGGAAATCTTCCCAGACCAGTAAAGGGCTGTGTGGACGCGAGTGGGTGCATTTATCATCAACTGGTTACTGAATCGTGGCCTCGCCCGACGGCCCTCGTCAGGTGCACGTGGGACATGGGTTCCATCAGCACCTAACCCTACAACAGCTGAGAAACACAAACATGGTGGTAACCCCAGAGATCATCCGAGAAGTTATTTATTGCCGAGGACTGAGTGAACTGAACTGTTCCAAGCTTCCTATTTCAACCTCAGCTTGTTGCCCTTGGCAAAAAGGTGGAAATCTTGGGATGCCCAAAGAGGTTTATCCCGCCCGGGGCCATCCAGGGGGTTCAGCCTCAGGCTGCGAAGTGAACCGGAAGCTGATGACACCTGCCCAGGTGACCGAGGAGCAGGCCTCCCGCACCAATAAGCACAGCGCACGCCAGGGGCGAATTCGTGTTTGCTCTCCTGTCTAGCAAGGATGAGATAAATCGTCACCCAACTGCTACCCCTCTCGCGGGGCCAGCGAGGTCCACACCCGGTCTCCAATTACAGTTCAGTTAATTAGACATCCAAGAAGAACAAAGGTCTCCGTGTCGACCTCCAGTCCCAGTCTGGGCGGTCTGATTCCCCGGGGGCCTAAGCCGCGGGCTCCCCGCCCAAGGCCGGAAGCTGCGCGCAGGGCGCGGGAGGAGAGGGTGGTACCTGCGGTTCCAGCCAGGAGGCATCCCTTCCCGAGGCCGGGCTGCGGCTGGCCCCGTGCGCCCGCGCCCCGGCCCGCCGCTG